ACTTCTGACTGCAGTTCAATTACTCACTATCTACACACACACTTATTCTCCCGTCACGTTGTCACCCTCTTTTATATACCATACTACCCTATATCTAGTAAATACTAGAGCATTCGCCAAGGTACAGGATAGTTCTAGAAAATAGGTGGCGCCACACCAGTCATGTGACTCGCTGACGCAACAATTCTCTAGTTACCATTGCTTTACTTCTGTAAACAATATTACATTATTAATAGATGAATGCTTCGTCAGCTATGGTGTTATACACCAACAATAAAGTGCCTATCAATGCTATAATACTATTTTGAATCGAAATACACCATCTGTACCTCTGATGTAGAAAGTATACCTGTGCTACGCACGGCAAGAAACTTCACTTTCGTTTTGCGTTCGTTTCGTGTATTTTACTGGTAACTTTCTCACAAAGCCATAACTAGGGCGGGGTAGCCAATCTAGGTGCAAAGCGGTGAGGGACAATAAAACGACCGAAATGGCTACTTGCATGCCATTCACAGGGATGGACGCAACTATGACATTCTGTCATGGATGTTAAATTCCCTATTTACGGCTCTGCATCCTTATTCAGTTTATCCCTCATTCAGACAATGACTGCCAAACTTGGATCACAAGTACGATTATTTATCCATTTAAACTGGATCTTTAATGCGTTTATATGAGCTATTTTCCAAGTAACGGCGAAATTAGTTCAAGTAGCTCCTCACAAGTTATTGTACCAAATAAAAGGAGAACTCTGATTTATATTTAGCTAGATAATACTTTACTGTCTCATTTTTGTTGTTCGTACTTCACACGATTAGAACAGAACTTGGCATAGTCTCAAATTAGTCTACTTTAAAACGTTAGCCAAAGTATGATGATCCAAACATCGCGTTATATGTTTGAATGTCTTGATTGTAATAATCATATCTATTATGATGTTCTTATCGTGAAATACACAAGGTATATTCCCTCTTGAATCTCTCTCTTAAAGAAAACAGAAACGGGTTAATCAAAATATAATTATATTTAGTTAAATTTGACATTTAATCTAAGCTTAAATTGGTGGTTAGGGCCTTCGGCATACAATCTGTGGGTCGTCTGCTCTTGATAAGTATAATATAATCACAAGAAATACTCGAAATATCTTGATCAATTATGAAGATCACATGTAAAAAATAGTTGGCAAGTCATTCAAGTGCAGGTGAAAATTAGTAACCTTAGAACTTTACAGTTTTTTTTTTACAGCCACATCCACATACTATGTAATTGGATTCGTAAACTTCTGATACGCTTTACTAAAATTAACATTTTGAATTTTATTTGAAGTCGAGAACCTCACTGCAATTTCTATGTCGTCACCAATTCAGAGTAACTTCTAACGTGAAATGTTGAGTTCTTACTAATGGGTTGAAGGTTAGAGGCTATTCACAAGCGCTGCTTTAGTATGATGTGTTCCTGACAATCATATCATTAATTATCTGTTTTTGTTTTTCTATGACACTCCGTCTGAGGCTGTCTCTGAGTTATAAAAAATCATATGAACTACATCGTGGGTCAGACTGTGAATCCAAATATTCTTTATTCACGTCCTGTTGTTTGGAGGCATTACGATAGTGACTGTCAAATCTCACTATTCGATCAAATAAGCCTATTCCGGGTGTTGGCAATTGATGCTGTTAACCAGCTGCATTCCCTTTAGTGTATCATTTCAAAATTATGGACATCCAACAGCTATGCGCAGATAGTTATTTGTTTAGCTTTGCGCAAACATTCTAAAACAAATACATTGTAGCAGTAGCAGCCTTAAATATAAGTAGGTATTTCCAAATGTTATTTATGTATTTTTCAAACTGCTTTATAGTCTTGCCTAACCTCCTATATTACTCTATGATCTATTACATATTCATTTTTTATAGTATTTATAATAGTTTTAGAAATAAAAGACCTCGGAAAGATCATGAAGCCAACTTTTTCTTCTGAAAGAAATGTTGTGTCTCTTTAACCAAGTACTATCCTTCACAACTCATAATAGTCCGAGTTTGTGCTTCTAAGAGTAATTTTCCTGTAGAATACGCACAAAAACCAGACATAACGGTAGTTGTTCTTTGTTCAGGAAATTTCTGTAGTACTGCACTCATGTTCTTGGATGGACAGACCTCTTCGTGCTAGCTGTGGGTACACATTGACGAAGCAAAACTTGTATAAAGGACAATGTTAGATAATTTTCCCTTTCTTTCTTTCTTGCGTTATTAAATCCCTAACGACCTCATTAAATGCTAATTGCACACCCTGCTTTGTGAAGGGTAATAATTGGCTCAATTAACTGATTAAGTACTTTTGTCTTAAAA